ATTTCTTGTTTCTTCCTGTTCCATCGATGCATTTTATGTAGATGCTGTGGATGCGTTTTGCATGAATGCAGTCAGAAAGTCAGATGATGCAGGCGATCGTTAGTCTATTGTTCAGCATGCACTATTGCTCTGAGCTCCATTCATGTGCGTGTGCATTCACTGGTGTTTGCATTTGAAGGAGATTTGTTATGTCGACGATATGGCCCTTTCCCATCTCTCTCTCTCTCTCTCTCTCTCTCTCTCTCTCTCTCTCTCTCGAAAAACTTGAACGGAAAACTGCGAAAAAGAAAAGAATGAGATATTAAGAATGCGATGATGTAAAAAAAAATCAACCCAAAGCAGCTAGTTGCGAAACAAACTGTTTAGTGTTTAGTTCTAGCAAGAAGGAAAAAAAAAATGAAAAAAAAGTGACAACACCACCACCAGTTCTTCAACCAAGCGATGAAATATCTATTGCATTGCAATTTTCGTTTGGTTTGGTTTGGTTAAGCTTCATCTTCTTACTACAGGCTTTTCCGGCTATTTATGCATTTTCAGTGAGATATTTAACATGAGCTTTACATGAAATGAGCAAAACAACGAACCAACGAACGAACAAAATGATGCAACAAGAGACGGCGACAATGAGAGAGACTGGGCTAGAGAGTGAGAGACGCGGTAAGATATAGAGTCTGAGTCGACTTATGTACAGAGATCGCGTCGACATAATGTCTTTAACGTTGCCACAATGCATTTGTAAGATAAGTCTTGCATGCTTCCATATTCACATACCACTCACTTGAGTCAGGACTTGACACAGTACGCATGCAAACCGAATTCGGACTTTCCTTCTTGCATTCTCTTCCATTGACTTTCTTTTTCATACGCTCACTCACAAAAAAGTCATGCGCTTATTCTATGCATTTCTCTCTTTCTCTCTTCATTCAAAACATTGCTGATCGCTTTGAGCTTGTTTGCTCGAAAATTTCTGTCGTTCCAGTTGAGCATTTATTAAAAATGTTGCTTCCACATACAACCAATTGCGTTTAATTCATATATTTTGAAAATTGTGCAGTATAATCGAGCAAACATGCGATTACTTTTACATATTTTTTTCATTACCAACGCTCACACATACACACTAAATAAATTTCAATAAATGGGATGTGGTTTCATCTAACATACCATCTGAATTCTATTTTTCTACGCGTTTGACTGCAATGAGTAAACGATGGATTTAAAAAAAAATGTTTACTGTGTTTAATTTGATAGATCTTTTTTTTCGCGGACTGAATATTCAATAAAAATATTACGTGTGTCCAGACAATATATTTGGATTTTGACATCTGAATATTTCAGCTCATCTGGATGACGTTTGGCGATAATACGGAGTGAAAGCAATAGTAGTGATTGTTATAGGTATAAAAAATACTACCATAACTATAACAATCACTTCTATTGTTCTATTGTTTTCACTCCGTATCATCGTCTAACGTCAGCCAGATGAGCTGAAATCTCCAGATGACAAAATCCAAATATATTGTCTGCTTTTTGTCGAAATTTGAGAAGTTTAATAAAAAAATATTTTATCACGCATATTAATTGTGGTGTATCAGAGCGGAATTAAAAGCGATGTGTTTGGTTAGACGGTTGATGAAAGAGAGGGATTTTATTGTATCGTTCTTAAAAACTAATGACAAAAGAATAGTTAGTAATATTTGTGTAGTACGGCGCTGATTGTACTTTGGCTTAGATACAAATCTAATTAAGTACTCAACATTAATTGAAACAGAAATATCAATGAATTTAATACATATTCTAAAAATACTTTTTTTTTGGAACGAATGAAATGAATATTCAATTGAAACAATGAATTTTCTTAAACAAGAACTACGATAATGCACTTTAGAAGAGACGATGATGATTTCATGTGTGCCTGAGTATGCATAAGCATCACCACAAAGAGATCAATAGTCAATCATGAAGTTTATCATTTGGAAGTTGTTCAATATATTGTTAAATCGAACGTATCGCATTAAGATGAGACTGTGTATCCTTTGTGCGAAAGACTCTTTCAGTTTTTTCATCTGTATGTCTAACATAACCTAATGAATGCTTAAATGCGACTGTTTAAACTTGTTCTCGCTAAGTCAACGTATGGAAATGATGTGGCAACCGAAAGTGATTTATTCGAAGGAAATTCATCGCTATACACATGCACAATGCATGAAGCAAGCACAAAATTATATGGAATTGCGGCACACAATTCATTCCAAATTCGCTTTCACTCTGTAAACTTCAATATTTATGCAGCTGCTCAACCAGCGTCGTCAATATGTTTCATTCAAATTTGGCATGCAAGCATAAAATATCTTAAATAAATTTTGACCTTTAAATATGAGACGTTATAACTTTATTTCGATATTGTTGTAATTTCATTTGCTGTTTTGCTTGAAAATTGAAATGTGTAAGTACAAGAACATTCAATATTTTTCGCCGGTTTGCCGTTGTCATATCAAATTTGTGACATGATTTACTTTATTTGGTTAGTGTTGAATTCATTTGGCGAACGTCTTCAATTCACGCAAGTAAACCAACAAAACGACAACGAAATGAAAATGGAAGATTTGTGTGAAAGAAAAATGAACAAAATCATCAATGGCAAAAGCGCCAATAAGCGTTGTATGCACATCAAAAGTTATCTTCATCGGATCTTGCCAACGAATGTTCCCAACTGACAAATAAAGCCGTTGCCACACCAGAATCAAGAGCTATTTGATTTTGCTCTCTTTCTCTATCACTATCTCAATCTCATACACAAACAAATTCAATGAATAAGCATTTTGGCAATTTCTTGCAGTTTGAACGCAATGGTTTTCGTTTCGTTTAGTTTGTATCAAATGATTCGATGTAAAAGTTTTAAACTCTATTAGATCTCTCTTTCTCTTCCTCTCTCTCTCTCTCCCTCTATACATCTCAGTGTGTGTCTCGTCCGTATATGCGATATTGCAAAAATGCGCAAAACATTCCACAAGCCATCAGGATGCAGGCATATTTGTGATGATATTTTTTGCTTTCTTTTTCTGTCGTCTTTATTTGTCATGTGCATTGATTTCGCATCTTTTCTTCCCAACAAATATTACCAGAGTAATTTTGCGTTGTTATTTTCGGCACGACCTAATATTATTGTTTATCATTTAGTATGGAATGAAGATGTTGTTGTTGTTGTTTGACTCGGCTATATGTATGTGTGTTCAAATCTATGTGAATAAATCCGCGTGAAAAGCGAGTTCGGAATTATTTTTTTTCTCTGCTGCCGTTTCTGTTACTGTTGTTTTTGTGCACAGTCAAAAGTTTTGAGCGCACTAAACAATTCCCAAGCGATAAATTTGATGAATACATTTAAAGTTTGGTAGTTAATGAGCATTTACAATCCCGAATTGCGTATACCATGGCTTGGCTTCATGGATGGATGGCTAGATGAATGTGTACAATGTACACTGTTTATTTAGATGTTCAATATGCGAGTATATGTGTGTATTGTACACAGTGTCCCAAAACATATCTATATATGTATATTCTGAAAATTACGCAATGTGCACTGTGCATAAAGTCAAAAGAGGCTTGCAGTTTTGAGATATGTTGAATTTGAGTGCGTGCGCCTGTTCACATAACAACTAAATGTACTGTGTATAATATGATGATGAATTTAATACGAAGATGTGAGACACGCGCGCGCGCTCATTCGAAGCGTCTTGCGTTCGCAATGAAAGTGTAAGAATGGAATGAATATTCTATAGGCAAACACATGGAGACATTTTTTTTGGGGGGGGGGCTTTGAGTTCAACGGAGGAAAAAAATAACTAAGTAAGAGAATACAATTCGTTGCTCAATTATATATATAATTTATAACGGATTTGCTTGGAGCTCTCACCATCTTATGTCTAAATGAAATACATGTACATTTTAGCACAAAATGTATCAAGAATTAAGGGAGCTGTAAGCAAATAAACGACAGATGAATAAGTAGCACTTGCTCACATTCAATAACAACATTCGACCCATTCAAACATCAAAATGAAAAAGTACAATGCTAGTTTTGAGTTCGTGGGTGGTTTTCCCGAGAAGTGTTCATTTTTTGGCATTAAATTTGAAATATTTTGAGATGAAAAGTTTCAATTTAATTTGTGTAATTTGGCCGAAAATTACAAACAAACTAGATACAATAATATCGTTTTCCAGGTATTTCAGACCGCTTCAATTGCACACATGTTCAAACACAATTTCAAAGAACAATCAGTCGAATTATGTATGCAAAGTATTGCATTGATTTATTCACATAGATACACGCATTGCTACACTCTCTTTGATCTTTGTAATTACTTGATGCTTGAATTATTGCAAACGATGCCTGACACCAGTTGGGATTCATGAGTATATTCATCTATTTGGTTAATATCATCTTCATTTTAATCTCTTTTTTATTTTGGAATCGCTTACGAGCAAACCTGATGTGTTTTCAAAGAGATGAAATTATTTCGAAATTTATAATGTAATTTCGTTATTTTTTTTCGTATTGAAGAAGAATATGTAGCAATTGGTTTTTGTTTTGCAATTTATGTCACAGACGTAATAAGTTTGGAAAATTTTTGTCGCGTTATATCATCCAAAAGCGAATGGCATTCAGAAGAATATTATTGTTCTGACGTCTTTGAACAACGTTCGTGGTGATATTGAAAATAATTTGGCACGTTTGATCACATCATTACATCGTATTTGAAACCATATTTGCCCAGGTGAATTAATCCATTTGTCACTTCGTTCATCTTCTAATAAACACCAAATAGAAAAGAGATGTATTACGTGCACAGCGACAGTGAATTACGAATTTGTATTTTCGAATTCTCAAAACAAATTTATTTTGTTGATTTTCCACATTTTTCAATGGATCGAGAAAAAAAATTCCATAGCCCAATGATGTGTGTTTGAGCGAAAAAATATATATAAATGACAAATTATTGAGTAACACGTCGTCAGTTATTAATTTGAATTTCAATAAAACAAAAGAAAACCAAATCCTTGTGAACAGTTAATTTCGTTGCAAAAATTTGTCATTTACACAATGGCAAAGTATAATTTAATCACCCTTATGGTGGCTGTAAGTGATTTATATTAACGGTGATTAAATCTAGCAATTAAACAAAGATCTATATATATATTTTTTAGATGGTGGTTCAGATTTGTGTTGCCGGACCGGTTGAACAAGTTCAACTGATATCCGGTGGATCAAATATGCAAGTGTCATCAACGGCACCGGCTGGTACGGCTCGTACGATGCCAGGTAGCCAAGTTGATAAGACGGCAAAATTGGGAAAAAACGTTTACATTGGATACTATGCATTGATTGGCGCCGATGCTGAAATCGGTGATAATGTGATTGTGTTAAGCGATTCCGTTATTCCGCCAAAGTGCCAAGTGCCCGATAATCGAATCGTTATGAACGGACCATTTACGGTCGATTTGGTATTTCTTCTTCAAGATATGGAATCGATCAACACTGACTACAGAAAACAACATCAATCCACTGTTGACACTATTTTACAAGATAAAAAGTGAGTAATTTATTCACCAGGTCGAAGAAAATTAACGCATTATTTTTCCTTCATATCAAAATCAATCCATCGTTTCCAGCGGACTCTCAATCAAATTAATAAAACGTGGTTGTCCTTTTATTTTAGTTTTAAAGCAATAATTGAAGAAAAAATACACAAGATATTTGAGGAATTATTGAATAATCCCACTACATTTGTCAAGTAAGCTAATATTTCGTTCACAAATATCGAGTATAGTGATATAGATGTTTTCCCATAATTGTACCACTCAAATAAATTATTGAACAATTTGCTGTAGATCTGGCGATTTATATGTGGTTTTAAGAGCGTTTTTACAACATCTTTACGGTGCCAAGTGAGTCATTTTCAATGCATCCAAACGAACAATAAATTCGAAAATAAAAAAGATATCGGCGGATATTTTACAATCTCCTTACTTATACCGCCTTGATTTTAAACGATGTTTGCAGTTTTTACTTTCTTTAGTTTATTTGATTGTTTTCATTCACTAAATTTTTTTTAGACTCAATGAAATGTTGACAAATCAAGATAACAATGGAAGTGCATTCCAAAAGAAAGACATGTCAACGATTCATTTTCCACGGAATCCGACAAATGATGATGAAAATACGCGCAATTATTTAGCAAAAAAACTATTGGCTATTTTTTACGTGTATATGTCACCAGTCACCCAAAGTTTGGACGAATTTACCACACTTGCCGATGCTATCATAAAGGATGATGTGCAAATTGTAACAGCTCAAGAGCTTGCGCAAGATATGAATTCAAATTCAGGAACCAATCAACCCAAATCGGAACGTGTACTGAATGCAGAAAAACTTGTAGCAAATATTCCGCGTGGAACATTGGTCGGTTCATGAAATTTATATTTATTCAAATTATTTACCTTAACATTGGATTACTTTGTTACAATTCAAGGTTGGTGGTGGTCTACTTCCCGGCTGGCTTGGAGGTAAGAAAAAACCAGAAGCTTCGGCTTCAGCTGCAAGTTCGGCTTCAGCTGCATCGAGTTCAACGAGCTCGTTAAGTTCGTCAAGTTCATCGAGTTCGTCAAGCTCATCGAGTGCTTCAAGCACTGCTGCAGCCGCAGGAAGTAAGTGAATATTCAGTTTTCAAATGCAATTTTCATTTTCACATATAGACTGGAAAAATTGCATACATATCTTGAATGTAGTTAAAAATAAGTTAAATCTTACATTTGAAATATTATCCTTAGATACAAAAACTGGTGGTGGTTTTCTTTCCTACTTGTTTGGTGGTAAAAAACAACAAGCCTCTGCTCAAGCACACGCAACTGCAGGTATATACATTTAAATTTTTATTATAATTTTTCCAAGAATTTTTCTTTGGCTTTTCTATTCATATGAGCACCATTTTTTATTTAAAAAAAAAATTAATACCATTATCGAAATATTCGAAAATAGGTCAGAAGGACGGTTTTCTTTCCGGTTTACTTGGTGGTAAGAAGCACCAAGCCCACGCTGAAGCATCTGCAGGTAAAAAGTCATCGAGTTACTTGAAGAAAGGAAAAAAGTTACAACCAAATATTACATATTGTATAATTTATAAGGTCAAGGTAGTGGTGGTTTTCTTTCCGGTCTGCTTGGGGGTAAAAAACAGAGCATTCCACATGCTATCAGTTCTGCTACAGCTACAACAGGTACTTTGAGAACTTTTTTTCCTCGTGCACAATTTACATTTTTGTATTTAATTTCACTTGTTTTACGAAAAATATTCAAACGAAGAAAACAATTGGAAAATAACTTTTTGGAATGTATATTTGCAAGGTCATCAAAGTGGTGGTAGTGGTCTACTTTCCAGTTGGTTTGGGGGTAAAAAACAGAACTCCCTCAGTTCAGCGGCATCTTCCGTAGCTAGTATGGCATCGGCATCATCACATTCAGTCGGAGTGAGTTCAATTTGTTATATTTAATTAAACGAATATTTTCCGATGATATTTTATATAAAATTGTCATCGAATAAATTTACAAGTAAACAATTATGATTTCAACATCCAAACTCGAAAAGTTTCTAAAAGTACACTTCAAATGCGATTTTAAAACAATAAGCAAATTTCATATATGAAAACTTTGAACTGTGTTCAGAAAATGCAAAAACTTTATTCTCTCATATCATCAAAAGCAAGAGAATACCAAAGAAAATAATGAAAAATCAATTTTTATTATGATTTACAGTCTTCTCATTCATTGTCAAATTCTGCAATGGCTGCAGCTTCAGCTTCAGCTTCAGTAGCCGGATTTTCAAGCCCGGTACGTATAACACTCTACTCAATAGTTTCTCTGTTTATACCTGTGTCACCGAGTGTATAAATTCAATCAAAGCCATTATTATCTTATAAATATCGTTCAAACATAAATTTTTTCGATTATAAAGGAAAATTGAAAAATATTTAGCTTAAAATGACGTCAGAATTAAATTTAACCACAAAGCAATAATATTGAAACTAACAAAAAATGTTTATTATTATATCAGAATCACAGCCCTTATATGACTCCTGAACGTAAGTATTTTGAAATAAATGTCGATTTATTTTATTAGTTATGATCAGACATTGTATTGATTGGCGATATTTATTCACAGATGCCAAATACTTCATCGAAGAGCATGGTTATCCTTGTTTCCAGTATTGTCCTTATTGTGGTTGGTATACAAATAATGCTTTCTTCGTCAGATTTTTATTATTTACTCATGCCAAATGGTTTATAATTTAAGGTGGTGATTTCATGGCGCTTATGCAATCAAATGCACAATTCGGACAAACCTTATTACGCAGTAGATCAGCTGGCTCACATCATCATGGTTTCGGCCAAACGCACACAGCAACCTCGAATCATGGTAAATATGTGTGTTTTTTCAAAACTAGTGGAATGAATATTGGATTGAATTTTTAATATGCATTGAGTAAAATTATACTTTTTGCCAGGTGGTCTTCATCGCGTGAAAAGTTTTTCTGGAGATGCACTTAATGGACATTCGCAGCACTACGAACATCGGAAAACTAATGGCGGATCAATGACATCGATTAGTTCAGAATCACATTCTACATCTGGCGGTCTTTTGCATAATGCAGCGAATACCTTGATTCATAATGGCATCTCTAACTCTGGTCATGGTATTAATTGTGTCCATCTATTCTTTCATCGTTATTCTTTTTGTGCTTAAATAACTTTAATGATCAAATTCAATTCCAAATAGGTCAACATGTCTCAACGGGTGCCAGTGCTTCGTCCGCTAATTCATTCGCTGCTAATCACGGTATTGTATTCTTGAACTATACTCGAACTGTGCGTTTATCAAATCTTTTTTTTAAATTTAGGCTATGTGAGCAGTGGTAGTGCAGCCCATGCCTCAAGCGAAGGTAAATATACGTTGTGAAAGAAATTGATTCGCATTCGAACAAAAATTATAGTTATCGTGTTTGGAAAATGTTTCATAAAATATGTGTTATCCATTCAAATAAATACATTTTTGCTCAAAGTTTTTGTTTATAAAAAAAAAATACAATTTAAACTACAATTATGTTGTAAATCGGTGAAATGTCGTTAGTTTCGCGTTCACTTTTTGTGCACGGGTTGTTTTGATCATTACTGAATTCGAATAGGAAGTAAAATAAAAAAAGCAGTAAAATGTATTCGGATAGGATTCAATAAGTTTTTCATTTTTGTTTAAGACACTTAACAGAAGAACACCATTTAAAATCGAAGTATGTTGACAAATGTTTTGTATATTGTTTGAAAAAAAAATGTTGCGTTTTTAAAAATGAGAAAAAATGCTCAAGACTTTTTTAAGACTCGAGGCCACTCCGATGCCTGAAAGTCAACTTGAAACTAACGAAACCTTACACCTACACAAATCCTATCGTTGTTTCAGTTTCAACGGCTCACGAAGAAAGTCGAACCGGTTCGGTCTCTTTTGCTACGTCCAGTGCACAAAATCATGAGCATACAAAACACACACAACAATCTCATCAGATATCTTCATATGCCGATGCTAGTGCAAGCTCAAAGGTCAAAAGTCATCACGAACAATCATCAGCCAGTGCAAACGTTGAAAATTATCATAGGTACGAAGAAATGGAACGTCGTAAACAATCACAATCAATGGCGTCTTCTTTTGCCACTTCCAGTGCTGCCACTTCCAGTGCTGCCTCTTCGAGTGCCGCCACTTCTAGTGCTGCTAACAGTGATAGTAGTCGAACTGAGCATCGTTTCAACGAGAGACAAGATAATCATCGACATCATTCCGAAACGATGGTGGCTTCATCTTATTCAGATTCAAGTGCAAGTCAAAATCATTCACTTGGACTGGCTACTGCACAGATTTCAAACCAAAATCGTTTTGAAGAAATGAAACATGGCCAACAAAGTATGTCTTCTTCCTATGCTGATTCTAGATTCGCCAATACACAGACTGAGAGTCGACGTCGCAGTAAAAGAGATCAATCTACTACAACTACTACAACAACCACAACAACGAGTGAACGTCAACGACTTGAAAATTATCACAGACACCAGCAAATGAAACGCAGCCAACAATCGGAAGAAATGTCATCGTATGCTGGTTCAAGTGCACGTACACAATTCGATAGCAGTCAAAGTCATCGTGAGCAATCATTAGCCAGTGCACAGATTGAGAATCACCGAAGTTACGAAGAAATGAATCATCGTCAACAATCACAAGCAATGGCCGCATCTAGTTCTAGTGGTGGCACACAAATTCAACGACATCGCAGCCACCGAGAAAGAAATCACAACAAAAAAGCACAAATTTTGTCTGTTCATGTAAACGTGGGAAATTCCAATTCACAGCATTATCAACAGCAACAGATTCTCAATCAACATTCACATTCTCATGCCAATTTGTATACCAAGAGTCATTCGGCAAATTATAATCTCGGTTTGTGCGACGATAGAAATTGTATGGCTTGCAAAACATTTGGTAGGTTTCATTTTAAAAAACGCAACTTTTTTTTGTTTCATTTTTTCTATTCATGGTATGAGATTCCGCTCAACAAACACGGTTTTAATTGGTGACATTTACACCCCGCAATATTGCCATACAAATACGATTCATATGGAACAATGACGCATTTTTAGGATTTAGTTTTGATCTCGATTTCTTCCTCTCTTACACACAAAAACACACACACACACACACACACTCATCAGGGCCGATTTGATTAAAATATTTCATTTTCGTTAGTATTTTCATTATAGTAGATTTACCACATCAAATAGAGTAATAATAATTAAAATATAACATGATAGTTATTATCGTAATCGTTACGCTTTATACCCAGTTCTTTCATATTATGCTACAATTATACGGATAAAATACCTTCAGCCGTTCGGTTGAAATTATGGTATTTTCATTCAAAAATCGGAATTAGAAAGTATGCATGATATTTGTTCTTAATGGAAATTTTACCGATTTTGATGCGAATATTTTAGCGAACGTAAATTTGATGCGCTTTAAATTGAATATTGCTTTTTTGAATGTCATACTATAATTAAACCTGATTATTGAAAAATCGAAAATGATTTTCGAATAAGCATAGGTTTTTTTTTCATTGAGCTAATGTTCTGTTGTATGTGCTTTTAATCAAAACAGCTTTAGAGAAACAACGATGGGAACATCACATTATGGACCAACATCAACGACGTAAAGACGAACGGTAAGTTAAAAATGAAACTAATTTATGAATAAATTATTGAGCATATTTCATATTTTAGAACAACGAATGACAATTATATTTGATTTTATTGAATATAATGATTTTTATTCATTTTTTAGATATAGAATGTCTGGTCAGACAGCATCAACTTCAGCAGCAGCAGCAGCAGCAGCAGCGGCATCATCAACTTCAAGTGGCGTTACAGGCATGCATGGTCTTGGCTATAATCACGGTGTATCATCAGAAGCTTCATCCGCAGCTTCGGCTGCAACTTCAACTATTGCAGAAAATAGTCAAGTAAATGAGCATCTCATATTCGTATTGCGTCGAGTTTAAGAATAATTAAAATTCGATGTTTTCGATCAAATTGCCACATCTTAGCTAAATTCTCTTTATTTTTTTTTAGTTTGGACATATCGGACGTTCACATTCATTACCATTGGAAAGGAATGAATCTTGGGACGAATTTTCTGTAAGTATAACTAACATTAACTCAGTTTTAAAACATTTAATTCAACATCAATGGTTGGTAGAAACGTACTAAATTTCGTATGATTAACAGATTCGTAACAATGGCGGAGGAATGGGTATGAATGGAATAGCTGGTGGATCATCTGGCGCAGCCAGTGCATCAAGTGCATCCAGTGCATCTAGCGCATCCAGCGCATCCAGTGCAGCCAGCGCATCAAGTGCATCAAGTGCATCTATTGCAGCCAGTGCATCAAGCGCGTCCAGTACAGCCAGCGCATCCAGCGCATCCAGCGCATCCAGTGCAGCCAGTGCAGCCAGCGCATCAAGTGCATCAAGCAGTAGCTCATCAAGCAGTTCTTCGGGCTCATCCGGCTTTGGGCAAACTGGCTTTGGTGGATCTGCATCTGCAGGTTTTTAAGCCATCAATATTGAATTTCACGAAAGAATTTATAATTTAGTGGGAACAAACCAATAACCGTATTATAAATATTCTATGTTATAAACCAAACATTATGTTGTGATATTTTCATGCAGCTGATTCAGCTCAAGAAGCTAACGTCAGGCACGGAAATGGAGTGAAAACAATATTGCTTGTTATGGTTATAAAAACACTTATAATGTCGCAATCCTTATAACTTCTATTGTTTTCACTCCGTTTCAGCTGCTGAAAATATCTCAATATAATATCTGTTCTAAACAAGTTAAATATTGTTTGTATCGAAAATTCATTTTTGTTCAGTTGTAGATTGTTAGAAAAAAAATCAAAATAAAATAGCAATAAAAGTTCCCGAATTAGACAATAATTTTCCGTGTTTTACTTACAATTTCAATTATGATTATCAAATTTACTTTCTGACATAAGTCCAAATGTGAATTGGATATTATGACTATTGAAACGAAAGTTGTAATTCTCATTGGTTAAACACGTATACACATGTGTGCAAAGGAAAGAACTTTTTGCCATTTGCCGGTAAAATGTAAAAAGATTCGAAAAACTTTCTGATATGAAAATGAAATTGTGCCACTTGATTGTATCCCATATAAATGCATTTATAGGTTGAGTGTCAAAAGGTATAACTTTTATAATACGTTGTAAACTTTTAAAATGTTGTAGCCTTTTTCTGTCATACCACTCTTTCTCGAACATTTTTTTTCTCATTGGTTGCAATGGGCAATTCATTTCATTTGCACCGTATATGGGTTTGGTAAGGGGTATATTACCATTTGTGAAAAAGTTTATTCGCGCCTTTCTTAATTTTATCCCTTTTATTATCAATGCATTTACACTACTTTATTTTTTAAGTCATTTGCAATTTGGTCAATGAAAATCGCAGCATTTACGAGATGCCTTACCCCTTTAGTCGCGCATTATCGTCACAGATAAGAAAAAAAAACCCATTAAACTATCGTTTTTAGACCAAATATTGTGCAGTCAGACGAATGCCATTCTGGTGCGAGATTTTATTGTTCGAATGCATTGGCTGGCTTGCAGCCTAGGGGAAAATATCGAATAAAATAAGTTACGAATATGCTGCGTATAAGATTATAAACCGTATATACCGAAGAATATTTGCAAATAATATTTGCAAATAACCCCGTATATATGTGGTTTATACGCATATATGCAGCGTATATGCGGCATACTTGCGATGTCTTCATCTATTTATAGTATATTCGGTAAAAAATACTTGAGTATAAACCGTATAAACGTATAGATAATTCCCCCTAGCTTGCAGCTCTGTACTGTACCAAAATTCGAACGAAAGGTAAAATGTTGGATTGTTAAGCAAAATAAAGAAAATGTTAGTTATTCCTTGATGTGTCTGTTTTTATTTGGAAAAATATCCCATTCTTGTTGATATTTTCAAATGTGAAAAAAAAAAAAAAATAAGAAAAATAAACTCGATTCACACTTGAAATGTTATTTGGTGACGAAAAAGGAAAAGAAAATCAATTTTCGCGGTGAATCGTCGACTTTTCATGTTGGTTGCATTTTTGAAGTGTCTTAAACGATGAAATATTAAAAGTAGGAAAAAGTTTGTAAATAGTCACATTTTGAAGTTGATTCCAACACAAAGGCTGCAGAACACGACATTTGGAATGCGACGAAAAAAAATATTCAATTTAAAAAAGAATTGTTTGTGTACGGGGCACGCTTTTTTCCACTCCACCGGTATTTATATCCTGTGAAAATTGCGTGTGGGTGAAACGGATAAATAAGCTATACGGCAATTTTATTATTACATGAAAATTGTGTATACATTGTAAATCATGATGTGAACTTCATTCGCAAAACGAAAATTGAATCAACATTTCACCTTATCGGAACAAACTTTGAATACGTTTGTATTTCTCACCATTTCTTTTCACTCGGCATACAATCTCACATTAGACCAAATACCTGTTTGCCTCTGAGAAACTGTCGCTACTAGGTATTTATTTTGCCAAAATTTTAAGCATCATACATTATACATGTCAATTTCATATTTTTACGCGCATAGCCAAATTGCAATAAATATTGTCAATTTTGTATCTGAACATTTCATAGAAAAGCTAAAGTGAAATTGGCGTCGACGACAATTGTTGACATCTGTTCATTTTTCGTTTCATTTTCGCGTTCTTTTATCATACTTTTTTTGCATATATATGTACTACAGCGAAACCTCGATTATTCGTCAATCTCCGATGAAAAACGGTTAACCAACTTCATAAATGTATGTATAATTTTTCTTTATTAAAAATACAAAACTAAGATGATGTTTCCCAAAAAAAAATGAGAATATTTGTGCTGGTAAAAATAACCCCCAATCAAACAGCACGCATTTTAATGCAGATTTTTTTTGTGAAATTGAGTAAAGAGAAACTTAAATCTTGTGACATAACTTGATATTACAAATGATCGGGGTTTTACTATAATAATAATACCTCTATGCGTCGAGAGCAAAAAGGAAACATATTAAAAAAGAAGGAAGTGAACTTACTCACTTCAAATACAGTATTTTGTACAGCATTGCAAAGACTACATATTACCGTGTTCTGTTCGTTCGACTCATCCTTCTAAGAAATATGTATCGGTTCAAGGTGGAAATGTGGTTTTCCAATCAATTTAAATAACTAAAGTATTGTAATAAATCGAGAATTTAAATGAACGTTCACTTATTGTTCACACTTTATAACATGAAAATTGTGTGAAAAAGAGTTTATCGATCGATCAGTATTTTTTCGAAAATGGGTCGATTCTTGTATACAATAGAAACTTTTACAATTATAATAATATTTTCAAGTAATTTGAATATATAGTTTTCTGAAGAGAAAACCCAAACAAGTATCGCCATAGTAACGATATTAAAGAGCAATTTCTTTTAAAATGTACTTTTAACTTTGTAGGAGGAAATAGTTCAAGTCAAACGTCTTGTTCTGTTGGATGGTCAAAAGCGATCTAATAAACTCTGCATGTGGCGAGATTCAACTTAATTTTTCAATTTCAAGAATCTCTTTATTTTATGATGGTTTCTCTCTCTCTCTATCTCTCTCGTTCATTCTCTTTCGTTCGTTCCTCATGCATTTTGCTTATCGAAAATCCCAAGAAGAGGCTAAACGACTACATTTGACCCATTACATATTTTTCTTACATCTCCGCTTATTATATAATAATATTCCCTTGTATTCCCACAAAATGCGAAACTTTGAATGCCACACGTGCGGTAAAGTCAAAGTTTGGCCGTGGTTTTTGTGCTGCGTTCACTTATACACACTCGTTCACTTATACGCTCACAATTGAATGGTACTCAGAGAAATTGAACAGTGTAAACACAAATGTTTGTTGTGTATTTCGCCCATTTACACAGACGTTATAAACTTAATTATATCACTTCTTCTGGCTCTTTCAATATGCAAAATCGATTAAATGATGAAAAACAAATAAAAATTATCGCAAATATGAGCGTGAGATACGGATTTTTTATGTTTTTACAACACACCGGTAAACTTTTTTTAGAGCAAAATATCACTATAAATCACATCAATTTCAAATCAAATTATATTTTAAATCTATCATTGAATATTTAACAATAAAATAAAAACATGAAAAAAAATTATCATTTGAAAAAAATAGTTTTTTTACGAAAAATCATTTTACACTGAACTTGCAAAATCAAAGTTTAAAATGACGGTTTGCACTGACGTTATACACACACAGTGTAAAATGTCGAATTCACAGCATTGTTATTGTAGTGTGGGTAATTCGACGTTTCACACTGTGTGTGAAACGTCAGTGTAAATGGGCGAAATACACAACAAACATTTGTGTATACACTGTTCAATTTCTCTGAGTAAGTTTAGAGAAAATCTTTCAAATAAAATGGATTGAAAATAAGTTGATTCGGTACAGGCATCTTGCCGTTCACTTTCATAGAAAGTAAATGGATATTTAAGTTGTGACTTGTATCCGTTTTTAAAATAAAGTTTTTTTTTATTTGATATATTTTTCATCGTGTTATATTTGGTTATGTTTCATTATAGTTCAGTGCTTTGAGCGTTATCAATATGAATCAATTGACATTTTCTTTTCAAACTATATACCTGTGAATTGATTCATATTTTATTTTACATCAAATCAAATGCTTTTGTACAAAATACCGGTACGAAATTACAGAAATACGTATAAATACGACCAAAGACTTTCATTCCACAGTGATGAAAGGTATGAATGGCAATGCAAACCAATGGGAAAAAGGTTTCTAGCGTAAAATAAAGAGAATGAAGTACCAAAAAGGAAACGAGCGATTGTGAAAATAAAATACGATTGAATAGACCTAATTGAAGTAAGTAATGGAAAAGCGAGTAAGGTAACATGGCAAAGAAATGATGATTCACCTGATTTCATGTGTCATGCGGTTAAGAAAAGTAAGCTCAAACGAACAACAACAACAAAAACAAACAAAAAAAGATTGGATGAAAAACGACGATTTGCACTGCATATTGCACATTGAGCAAAGCAACGAAAATGTATTCTCACATCTGGATACAGATTGTGACCGTAAAACAAATTGATGAAGTAAGAAAGTTATACTGCTGACTGATGCGTGCGCGCGTATGAACGGTGCGCACAAAACCTATATCAGTGAAAACGACAAAGACAACAACAATAACAACCGGACCAACAAAATGCCAAAGAGCCAATGGTAACAAAAACCAGGACGAATATTTCAGCTTTATCGGCGGGAACGAGTTGAACGAGAAAAAGAGAAAATAATACAGAAAATTTTAATGCGGTAGGTTTAAAAGTTTCTCAGCGGCAGCAATCCGATTGAAAAACAGCGTATATAACCAAAGTAAGCACCAGTGAATCGAGGGCTGAGAAGAAAAAAAACCCAAAAAGTTTTGGACACAAGTTTCAGAAAATTGAATTGAATGAGATTACGTTGCACTTTATTTACATGCTGCTACCTCTCTCTCTCTCTCTCTCTCTCTCTCTCTCTCTCTCTCTCTCTATCTCACTTGTTCGCC